TTACATTTCCATTTTTGGAGTACTAAAAGATCTACAATACCAATGAAAAGTTGCGGGACTAGGTGTCCTGCACTATATAACATTTGTAAACTTCCCATGATAATCATTTTTCTTGCAATACACATACAATAATGATGTTTCTTTATTCATCCCCACGACACATTTTTACATAATTTGGAACTTTTTATAATCCTATTTTATCATTATCATTATTGCTGCTTTATCAAATGGTTTTACTTACGTCAACGGTTTTTACTTTGGTCAAATCGTCAAAATGGCTCTGGTGAGAAACTACCTTTGGTCAATAATTTAGTTACATCAATGACTAAAGTCATACATCATTAACTGCTGCAAATAGTTGCAATTTTTATTTTTACACATAATTTCATTGTAAATGAACGACCGACTAATTGAATTCATCAATTACAATTCAAAAAATTTAGTTACAAATAATTCAAGAAAATTTTCGCATGAGTAATGTGACTAGTAATACTAATGACAATAATTATATTAATCTTAAATTTATTTGCAGCTGTCCTAGTTATTTGCGGCAGTCGTATCTGTTTGCGGAAACCATAATTATTTACGACGATGGTAGCTACCAGCCCAATTATTTACGGAAAGTGCCTTTACCTAAATCTAAGGTACTCCTATTTATATATAACTTAACAGTCAAACTTATTACTCATTGTCTCACATTTCCCCCACCATCTACATTTTTATCTATACATAAAATCACATCAATATAAAATGACTAGTACTAGTAAATTTGTTATGACAGATTTTAAATGTCTAAAATCCGTTATAATGCGACTAGTGTCCATTATTATTATAACTAGGTTTGACTGTATGTATTTAGAAACAGAATCCTTCCAGCATCTCTACTTAGCACACACATTTGCCAAAACTAAGCTACAAGTTATTATAATTTTTTTGTAAAGTTATTATGTATATTTTTGCATAGTTAACGAATTTAAGATATCTGAGATTTTTGGGTCAAATGTAAGCCGAAAAACTGAACTGAACCGAACCGAATGACTCAGCTTCAGTTTAACCTTTAAAGTTCAATTTCGGATTGAACATTAGACCAAACTAAACCAGTTTTAGTCATGAAGCTGTATTTGTTCAAAATATTTAGAAAATATATAACAAGATATTCAAGTGTTGATAGGTGGTATAGGTGTGTTTTTAAAAAAATGACGGGGAAAGAAAATTTAAATGAATGTTTGGGGTCAGAATAATGGGCCATTTAAATATCATGAAGCTGTTTTCTCAGATATACAGCATGTACATAATCAGAAGGCGGAGGAGATGTGGTATTTTATGTGGAAGAAATAAAAATTGTAGATGGTGGGGGAAATGTGAGACAATGAGTAATAAGTTTGACTGTTAAGTTATATATAAATAGGAGTACCTTAGATTTAGGTAAAGGCACTTTCCGTAAATAATTGGGCTGGTAGCTACCATCGTCGTAAATAATTATGGTTTCCGCAAACAGATACGACTGCCGCAAATAACTAGGACAGCTGCAAATAAATTTAAGATTAATATAATTATTGTCATTAGTATTACTAGTCACATTACTCATGCGAAAATTTTCTTGAATTATTTGTAACTAAATTTTTTGAATTGTAATTGATGAATTCAATTAGTCGGTCGTTCATTTACAATGAAATTATGTGTAAAAATAAAAATTGCAACTATTTGCAGCAGTTAATGATGTATGACTTTAGTCATTGATGTAACTAAATTATTGACCAAAGGTAGTTTCTCACCAGAGCCATTTTGACGATTTGACCAAAGTAAAAACCGTTGACGTAAGTAAAACCATTTGATAAAGCAGCAATAATGATAATGATAAAATAGGATTATAAAAAGTTCCAAATTATGTAAAAATGTGTCGTGGGGATGAATAAAGAAACATCATTATTGTATGTGTATTGCAAGAAAAATGATTATCATGGGAAGTTTACAAATGTTATATAGTGCAGGACACCTAGTCCCGCAACTTTTCATTGGTATTGTAGATCTTTTAGTACTCCAAAAATGGAAATGTAACACCAAAAAAACAAACCATAGTTTTGAAGCCAAGACCTTTCTCTACAAAATTACGATTTCATTTTGTTGATACATCACGTTACCATGAAGAAACTGAGCCTCAAAGTTGCACGAGTTTACTATGTTAACCCCAAAACTGTCGTGTTACACACGATTTTTTTATATTAAAAATGAACGAATTGGAGGAATTGAAATTTTTGAAATTTTGTGGCCGATCATTTATCACGTGACAATAATAACGAATAGAAAAAAACTTAACATTCAAACATTCATCAGCATGTTGATTTGCAAGCCTCATAAATCTTGTTAATTCCATCGAACCCACCTATACAACTATTAAATAATTGATAAACATTCATCAGTAAGCAAATTTACTATGAATGTTTATCATTATTCAATAAGCATTAAAGACAAGATATTAACTACTATGAAGTATTTGAATAATAATAGGTAGTTAATTGAGTATTACCAAAAAACATATAAATAGATCTGCTTACCCACTTGTGGATCAAAAATCAAAAAAAAAGTATATTGGTTTTGCTATTCTTTAATAAAATAGACTATTTTCATGGCCATTGATTGAGTAGTCTAATAAATTACTACAAATATATAAAATGGACCAAAAATAATGTGTATTGGTTAATGAAATAGACTATTTCATTGTCAAATGGTGCATTGATCAAATAGTCTAATAAATTACTACAAAAATGTATAAATCACAAAAAAAAAGAGTTTTTGTTTTGCTTTTACATTGCATTCGAATTTGAGGGTTGAGACACCTGACTTTACACATTACATTCAAATGAAAAGGTTGAAACACATAGTGCCAAAATGGTATTCTATATTTATTTGTTTATTTATTTATTAACATCCTTTTAAAAATTATATAAAAATTCAGTAATAAAGAAGATTGGAATTTGAATTGATTTGAACCAATTAATTGTTCAGAATTTAAAAACTAGTTTTTTTGCTCTTATGGTAATCTACCATAATTTAATTAATACTATGCATACATATATACAAAGAAACCCATCTGAAGCAAGATGTTTGTTACTAAATTGAGGTTTTAATGCCAAAAAAATTAAAATACTTGTTTTTTTTTAATTTATCTAATGCAATAATCAAATTAGAATTCCATTTTTGGTTAATAAATTATTTATAAATGCAGCCAAAATCTAGTTATGCGCAACTTAATTAGAATTAATTAATTGATACATATTTCAGGAATAATTAATTATAAATAATACAATGCAAAAACAGTGAACATTTGTTTGTTCATTTATTTAAAGATGAGTTTAATAATACATCAAATGTAAACCCGATTTTATCCCTATTTTTATCAATGCTTCATGTTTAAAGAGAAAGAGAAATAATAAATCATATATAATCATTTGTTCATTTTTTGGAGATGTCAAATCAAATGTAAAGCCAATTTTTATCATCCATTTTTATCAATGCTCCATGTTTAAAGAGAAAAGAGAAATAATAAATCATATATAATCATTTGTTCATTTTTTAGAGATGTCAAATCAAATGTGAAGCCAATTTTTATCATCCATTTTTATCAATGTTTCATGATCCAAAGTAATCAAATCATATAAAATTTTTGAATATATAAATGAGATGTTTTTACCAAGTTATGCTATTAAAAAACCCAAATCAAATAATTAAAAAAATAATACCAAGTTATTATCCTGATATAAAAAACCAAAATTTCCTAATTATTAAAAATCTAAATTTCCGATTTAACATTTTCCTACTATATTACTATATTACAATATTATTAAAATCTAAATAATTTACCTTAAAATGGGCAGACCTAGCAAAAGACAAATTCAAATCAAAAAACTAGCCCAAGATAAAAGAAGAAGAAGCAGTGATCCAACATATGTAGGTGATATTGAAATGGATGAAGATCTGGGTTCTGAATCTGAAATTGAAGTCGAAGTTGAACCTGAAATTGAAGTCGAAGTTGAACCTGAAATTGAGGTTGAAGTTGAATCTGAAATTGAAGTCGAAGTTGAATCTAAATCTGATTCTGAATCAAGTTCTGACAGTAATCTCTGGGAGGATGTGAATATAAATAAAGTTGAAAATTTTACCATTGTGCATGAAACTTCAACAAAAAGCAGAACCTCTTTTTATTCAGTAAGAACACAACAACGACATGCCAAGGTGTTGAGAGATGCTGCAATTGGATCTGCCAGGATTACTGATTTTTTTAATGTTAAAGCTTCCAGTGGAAATCAACTTGAAAGTAATGACGAGTCAGCAGATGATGATAATGATGTATCAGAAGGTGATGATGATCTTGATGTCAGTCTTGAAGATGACTGGAAAAATGCAATAAAGTCTGTTGAACAAGCTCTTGAAAACCCTAATCTAGCCAATAATGTAAAATCTAGATTAATGGCAATTGAAATGTATTTTAGACATTTAGATGATGGTAGAAAAAAGGTTGATGCAAGTGAATTGGTGGCAATATCTCTAGGGTGGGCAAAAATTTATAAAGGGAGATGTATTAGATCTTGGGCTAAAAAATGGATCCAAAATAGAACATTACCTGAATCAAAAAGAGGGAAACACCCAAAAACGAAAAGCCTTTGGAATCATGAA